GGAGGTCCTTGAAGCGGGCCGTACGTAGAGGAGCGAGAGGGGTTTCGCGGGAACTGGAGTCGGTCTGTTCCTCCTCGACGCAATCTGTGTGCGGATGTACAGGACAAGACCACGAAAGACGATCACAAACACTCGTTGTAAAACAGACTCTTGCGTCTCCCCCCGGTCTTGCACCGGTTTGGCGTCGTCGACATCGAACGACGACGGTGTATCGGCGAAAGAGCGGAGAGAGACACATGTTGCGAGCGGCAAAGCAGGCCGTGAGAAGAGGGGCGGCGGGAAGCGGACTCGGTCTGTTCCGCCTCTTTTCCGCTGCTTGTGCGTGGGCCCGAGTTATCAGCCGCACGTTAAATTGGGTTCGTGTGCGTAGACCATGCGGTCGGTGTTACGTGGCATGCCGCGTGCTGACCGCACCACGGGGTCTACTTTTGAGGCGTAGTTGGCACGGAGATTTAGGCAGGTAGACGATGAAGACGACTAGTTCAAATGTGTATGCGGCTGGGAGTGCGAAAACATGGCATGCATAATGGTAGTTGCGGAATGTCCGTTGTACAAGGAGAGGGAAGTGTACATGACTTAGCTGGGAAAAGTAGAAGGAAGGTACAGAGAGATGTTTGAGGCATGCAATAGCCAGGGGAAGGCGGTAGCTGTCCTAGGGCATAGGAAGTGAGTTGACTACGGGGGAAGTAATACCGATAGGATAGATCGACCTTGGGAGAACATTTTTGAACGACCTTTGGCAAAGTAGGAAGGAATGATTGGGCATCGGTGATCGGTCCTGTGGGAGCTGCTCCGTCCTCTCGAGGGCGCGTGGTCAATGGTCTATAAGGGCTAGAGCATGCAAAATACAAGAGTACGCCCCCCTCTCACCCACCCCCACCCCCTCCGCCGCCCCCGCTTCCGCGAACGGGATGGCCGTGTTTTTAACCCAGGGAAGGCGTAATGTCGGGCCTTTTTCGCGGGATCGAATCGACAATGCTCAGGGAAATGTTGCAGTGTGCGATATACTACCCATCGGTGAGTGCTGTGAGGAGTTGGTGGCCCGAAGGGCTTTCTTACGTTGGTGCGCGAAGCAACCCGCCCTTGGGGTAAGTACTTTCCCTAGAGAGAGAATTGCGATCCTCGCGGGTAGATGGTTGTTTTCGTACCCGCCAAAGTCAACCCCCCGGTGGAACGTGGTATAATAGCGCCATCACAGTGACTCTGTCGAGTCCACTACAGGTCAATGAATTCTCGTTCAGGTGAAAAGCGAACCGGACAATGGAACGCGTTTTTACACGCCACCACAACCTGCCCCGCTGCACTTTCTCGCAGTATGAGGTTACCAAAGACTTGTTGGCACGCCGAAGTACATCGGGCAAGAGCAGCGTTCCTGAGCCGGCGCTGCAGATGCTGGCGGGAGGGATAGCCGGGTGTGCGACGTGGCTACCGCCCGTGTACTGCCTGGACGTGATCAAGACGAGGCTTCAGAGCGCGGAGCCCGGCGTGTACGGCGGGACGTGGGACTGCCTGAGGAAGACAGTGAGGTGCGTCGGAGAGAGTCAGAGGACGTGCGAAGTGTTTGCGTGTGTTGCCGACGAAGTCTCTGCCAAACTCGAGTGCTGCCTTGCAATGTCATGACGTCATGTCGTAGATGTGACATCATGTAACCCCCCCGCGGCGCATTCGTGTGGAAGCTTGTGCATACAATCGTAGACCACCAGATGCTGCACAGACTTTGCGCGATTACTTTGCCCTTGTGTTGACCAACGCAAAATGACATGAAGCGGTCGGTACTGCAGCACGTACGTGGGGATGCAGATAGTGCGTGTCAGAGAGGTTGCTTGCCTTGTCGGTTCTCCCACTAGGTTGGTGAGGCATGGCAAGGACAGAACATCTTGAATACTGTTGAACTTGGCTCGCCGTAAGCTCTGGCATTGTTTAGAATTCCCCATCCCTTCCCTGGGGAGAGCTCAAGCGCGGGAGCTTGTACACGCCTCAAGACATGGGGAAATTGGCTCGGAGAAAGAGAGAGAAAACGGCATACAGCACGAGCGTTGTGAAGTGTGTTTCGCGTGACTGTTGTCCTTCCCCGCTGCGCCGCTAAAAACCTGCAGGTCGGAAGGAACACCGGTGTTGTTTCGGGGTTTGGGGCTGTCCATGCTCCGTGCCTTTCCGATGCACGGGCTTGTGTTCGTCGGGTACGAGACCACCATTGGCCTCTTGACCACCCGTGAAAATTGTCCCACTGCTGTCCTCGCCAACACGTAGTTCTCCTCGGTACAGCATCGAGCGTTTATCCTGTGGACGACAAGGTTCGTCTGCTGTAGGCTGGGGGAAGTGCGGGAGACACCGATACAGGAGGTGTTACCGGTGGGGTTTAGCAATCACACCACCAACACCGAAGCGTGTACGGCCAAGTGCGCTGGTCAAGTCCTCGCGTGAGCCAACGTTAGGCAACTCCACGTTGAATGCTTTGCATGTTGTCGGAAGGTCGGGCTGGAAAATACCGACGGACACGATCTTCCTTGTCGCGGAACCAACCTTGACGACGTTCGCGGATACTTTAAGGTTAGGGCTGTTACTTCTGGGCTGTATACTTCTATATAGTAGGGAACAGGACTGGATGATTCAGACTACCGTGAGTGGGTGTTGTTAACACCTTGCGAAGTACCTTGTGTCGTGACAGAGTAGAATATAACTGTGACTTGCTTAGTTATCGTACATGTCTGCAGTCGTATAGTGGCGTGTCTGCAAAGTGGTATAGTTTTTCCTTTTCGGTGGGTGATGCTGACATCGTCCCCTGGAATGTGTACTTTTAAATATGTCGAATCCTGTTTAATGCTTCAACTTGCTCATGAGTTCGAGCACTGTATGTAAGAATTTCAATATTGAGTAAAATTTGTGGAACTTTTTCAACATTGAACGCTACGCCGTACGTGCAAGCTTGTTTCCCCCCGACGTTATGGTTAGGAAGCGGTCGATTTCCATTTATGTTGTTTAAGGGTTAGGGTTTTAAGTTTTCCATCCAAAGTTTTGTATGCATATGTTGGTGGTGAGGGGTTCCCTACAGGGTTTTTAGTGGAGGTGTGCATGGTATTTGTTGCTTTCTGAATTTTTTCCTCGCATAGCCGGATTGGTTTCTGCTACGAAAAGAAAACTATACAAAAATATTGACCGCGTTTTCTTGTCCGCGATATTTTGACCACGGCCGATTTCATAATGGTGGAACAGATACAACGACGCAACCGTTTTTTTCGGCATCATCTCCGCCAAATCCAGTTCCGGAAACGGTTTCGATTGAGGTTGTTTGGGCGCGTTCAAACTGCCCTTCACACCTTCGCACCGTCGTGTTAACTATTCTCCATCTCTCGTCCAATCCACCGTGCTATTTGGATTTTGAAATCCACGTCTCCCAATACCATACTCCAGTATATAGTCCTTTCTGCCATATCATGTATACTGCCGTCGACCCTACAGGACTAATCTTTCTGTCCGGGAGAGTACCCATTCCAACGTACAATGGCTACTGCACGACCCCAAGTACGCCTACGGTCACTCGGATTTGGGGTGTCACTCGAAAAATTCGGACTGCCTTGCGAGAGATTTCCCCATATGTCGGGCGGCTGAGAGCGGCAATGAGCAACAGGTATGTAGCGCCCTCGCGTTCTCTCTGTCAGTCTTCAGTTTGTTCAGCGAGTCCTCCACACCGTCCGAATTTCATCCTAAACCCAATGAAGTTGTACATACATTCATCTCATTTCACATCAGGCACGGGCCCAGTTCACACATGTCATCGCTCAATCCTTCTTTTCCTCCCACTCTTCTCTCCCACAAATATTTTAGGCTGGCTTCCACCGTGATATTCAATGCTTTGGCTTTTACGTCCCCGGGAGCGCCTTCATCTGAAATCGTCGCCGTCGATACACGCGCCAAAGTTGTTGTGCCAGAACTCTCACTGAAGAGACAAGATTTTTTCCGCGTGCAACAGGGAGATGATTACTTCACTTTGACGTGGTATAGTCTATGTCTTGCTTCTCCCGGAGGGTGGATATCCGGCTGGCACCCTGATTTAAAGAGAGCACTATCGGACACAAAAACAATTCTTGCACAATGCCACCAAGGCTTCTTCCGGCGGCTCTTCCACCACATTTTCGACTCCCAACTCCCCGGCCGGTTTCCCATCATACCGTTTTCCGTCGCATTCCCCTTTGGGGGTCATTTCCCTCCACTACCTACCCCCGCTTGTTGACTCGGTCCGTTCCTTATTTCCTGCCCCATTCCCTCCGCGCTGCTGTATATAGTTCTCCGTCCTATTTCGTTCAGTTTTATGTTCCTCTGCAACACAATACGACCCCCGCGCTATCCTCTTCGTCCTTTGCACTCCGTTCCCATCCCCACCCTGGCCACCCCTCCTCCCTTTCAGCCATCAAGACCAAGAAAAGTTCTGCTCGTTCCAATAAAGGTTCTTCCTCCGGTGGTGCCTCCGCCACCGCCTCTTCTCGCTCGACCCCGGTACGCTACACCCCTACCATTTCAGCGGCTTCGCCCCATACCTATCTCTCGCTGCCCCCCTCTCCGATCGATCTCATCACTCAAAACCATCTACCGCTGACCGCTGGACTTACTCACCATCTACCGCTGGACACTTCTTTCTCACGACACACACGTGGATTCCCTCTAATATATTTGGTAAGCGCGACTAGTGCAACCCCCTGACCTTCCGGTTTGATGACTTGCCGGCCGATAGTGCAATACCAAACGGTGGTGTTGGTAGTAGTGGTGGTGGTAGTTTACGAAACCAATACGCACGAGAGAGTGGCTCGCAGCCACGAGATACCTGACGAGTGTTCTCTCTCTCTCTCTCTCTTGTCACTTGGTGATCTCGCAAAGCTACCACGTTGCGGATGACTGTTCGCCATCGGTGCCCTTGGCCTGTTCCAACCCGCCACCGCAGGAAAGACCCGAGGAAGAGAGAAAGTACAGCACCCCCAATGCCGAGTGGGAGGTCTGAAGCACGTTCATCTCGGGACAGGTCATCGAGATCATGATATACTACCACCCGGTGGGTTCGATAACTTGCAACCTGATTACAGGCGATAGTTCTTACTGTTTTCTTCAACATCCCCGTGGGCACCCGCTTTTAACTTTAA